CCACCGCCACCGCCACCGCCACCGCCACCGCCACCGCCACCGCCACCGCCACCGCCACCGCCACCGCCACCGCCACCTGAGCACCCTCAGGTACCGTCGGAGATCCCCTCCTTCCCAGCGAGGTGACGAACCAGAGCCCAGGTGAACCCGCGGAGTTCAGCAGCCTGCTCCCCATCGGCTTCCGAGCGGCTATGGCAGCCCGCTGCGCTCTCACCAGGGCTCCGCGGCGCGCGCTGCAGCGTCTCTCTCTCTCTCCCTCTCTCTCTACGTATCCCTCTCTCTCTCTCTCTCCTTGGCATCCCTCGGACGTGTGCATGTTTCCTTGGCAAGGACCATCGAGGAGCACTTGGGGCCACACCCTGCGACAACATACGCACACGAAACCGACAACTACACGGGGAACGGACGTCCGAGCGATGGCGAGTCTCTTGCCCTCCCCCTCCACCCGCCCACTTTGGGGCGTCGACACGCCATGCTATGGCAGGATACGCGTTGATCTTCAACACCATGCGATGCCATGTAATGCTGTGCCCTGCTACGACATCCGACTGCGAATAGAGAGGAGATCTGCGCCATGGTAAGGGATGGGGGAGGGGTAGGACGTCAGATATGCCGCGAGCGCACCTAGCTCCCCCTCCACCCCCTCCCCCTCCCGCACGCGCGGGCCGAGTGCCGCCCCCTCGCGCGCTCCAATCCCCGTGCTGCGCTCGCAGGTACGTGCCCTCTGTCCCTGCGCACCGAAGGCCCGGCGCGGGCCAGGCGAACCTGCTGGCCAGGTGAACAACGCCAGGATCCCACCCAGACGTGCTCGTGCCGTAAAACAGAATCGGGGCGGCAGGTTTTGGGCCAACGTCGGCCTCCAGGGGCCCTCGCAGCCTCACCGGGCCTCGGGGGCGTCAAACAACGCCTCAGGACGAAAATCCGGTCCCGGGGAAGGGGTTCTGGGACCCCCCCCCCTTGGCAAGAGTCTGGGCCTCCCAGATGGGGTCGGAGTAGATGGGGTCGGAGGACCGTGCCGCATCGCCGATGCATCGCGGATGCATCGCCGATGCATCTCGATGTGGAGCTTGATTCTCTCCACGCCGGCGTCGCCGATGCATCGCCGACGTCGCCGATGCATCGCCAGTGCATCGCTAATGCATCGCCGATGCATCACCGACGCGGCGCAATCCTCCGACCTCGTCTATCGGGACCCCATCTGGGAGGCCTCTAAAGCGGTGGTGCCCTCGGAGGCCGAGAAAGGCCACTGGCCTCCCGCCGTGACTTTGCCACGGCGCGAGCAGTAGGGCCCCCTCCCAGACACCCGGCGTCTCGAGTCGTTGGAGGCGCGGGCATCCAGGTTTCTCGACCTCTTCCACGGGACCACGCGACCTGTTCATCGCGAGTCGTTTTTGTGAATTTCCTGGGGCCCGGGAAGGGGGCCCCGAGAGGCCGAGCACGGCCACGGAGCTCCGCCTCGGTGCCTTCGCGACGCGAGCATGCCTGGGCCACGGCCGCGGAGCTCCGCCTCGATGCCTTCGCGACGCGAGCATGCCTGGGCCCGGCTGGGAAGCGCCCACACAAGGCGCCTCGGAAGCGCCCGTCCGGCGCCCACGGGAAGCACCTGCAAGGCGCTCTTGGGAAGCACCTGCCCGGTCTGTCCTTCCCCGTCGTCCTCCTTCCCTCTCCCTCCTCCCCTTCTCGCTCCTCGGTTCCTCGCCCCCTCGTTCGTTTCTGCCCCTTGCCTGGCCCGCGTTTCTTTTTCTCGGCCTGTCCCGGCGTCCAAATAAGAGCCGCGGCGCCCCGCACTGCAACGCTGGCGGATCGCCCGGCGTGGACAGCAGCCCACTGCAGACTTCCCAAGCGTCGATGCACCTGGGAGGCGCCGAGGGGGCGCCTGGGAGCGCCCACTGCTTTCGTCGGCGGCGAGGCGAAGACGCACCAGCGATCAGCGATCGGGGGCAACCGATCATGCAAGTTGGCTGGCATGCAAGAGGGGGAGTAAGACAGACGGACGCGAAGGACAGGAGCAGGCGGAGGGCATTCCGACGCGGCAGAATCCCAAGCCCCACAAGGGAGCCTCATAGGATGCGCTTCTGGGAAGGAGCGCTCCCGGACGTGTGACGTCCTGATTTTTTCAGCACGGGGTCCCTGGAAGTCCCGACCCTTTCCCCGGGACCGGTTCTTCGTCCCGAGTCGTTGTTTGACGCTCCCGGGGCCCGGTAAGGCTGTAAGGGCCCCTGGAGGCCGAACTTGGCCTCCCGCCCTGATTTTTTTTTGTTCACGACGCGATCATGTAGGCGCCGCGTATAGGTGCCCCGAGGACGTGCCTTCGGGCGCCGGCGCCCGCAGGCCGCAGCGCAGCCCCCAGCGCGCGGGCGCCGCGGCCAGCCCCGCCCGCCGCCCGCCTGGCACGCCGGGCCCCGCCGCCGGCGCGCCGGGGGGCAGCCGGCGGCGCCCCGGGGTGCCGCTCGCCGACGGCGGCGCTGATGGGCTTGTTTTCCACCACCACCACCATAAGTTGGAGGGGGGAAGGAGGAAGAGGAGGCGGAGGAGGAGGAGGAGGAGGAAGAGGATTGCTACTGCTGCTGCTGATGATGATGCTGATGCTGATGCTGATGCTGATGCTGATGCTGATGCTGCTGCTGATGATGATGATTGTGAGGATGAGGATGATGAGGATGAGGATGAGGATGAGGATTAGGATGAGGATGAGGATGAGGATGAGGATGAGGATGAGGATGAGGATGAGGATGAGGATGATGATGATGATGCTGATGATGATGATGATGATGATGATGATGGTGATGGTGATGGTGATGGTGATGATGGTGATGATGGTGATGATGATGATGCCGATGATGATGATGACGATGACGATGATGATGATGATGATGATGATGATGAGGATGATGATGATGATGATGATGATGATGATGATGATGATGATCATGATGATGATGATGATGAGGAGGAGGAGGAGGAGAAGGATGAGGATGAGGATGAGGATGAGGATGAGGATAGCAGGAGGAGGAGGATGAGGATGAGGATGAGGATGAGGATGAGGATGAGGATTAGGATGAGGATGAGGATGAGGATGAGGATTAGGATGAGGATGAGGATGATGATGATGATGATGATGATGATGATGATGATGATGATGATGATGATGATGATGATGATGATGATGATGACGATGATGATGCTGATGATGGATGCTGATGATTATGATGATGCTGATGCTGATGATGATGATGATGATGATGCTGATGATGATGATGATGATGATGATGATGATGAT